GCCTCAGTATCCACCAATCCCACTGTCAGTTTACGTGGCCTACCACTTCGTGGCTGAGTTGTTGTCATTCCCAGTCACTTCCACTTTGTTATATCACTGACAGACGACTGTGGAATATTTAGGATCAAGGAAATTTCACAACTGGACTTGTTGCACAGGTGGCATCCTATCACAGTACCATGCTGGAATTCAATGAACTCCTGAGAGCGACCCATTCTTTCACAAATGTTTGTAAAAACAGTCTGCATGCCTTGGTGCTTGATTTTATACACCTGTGGCCATGGAAATGATTGGAACACATGATTTCGATTATTTGGATGGGTGAGTGAATACTTTTGGCAATATAGTGTATTTTTTCATGACCGTTTGTTTGACTGTCTCTTCCTCTATGTTTCTCGACACTTAGCTGATCTTGCTAGGTCGGATGGACCTGTCTCCAGCACCGGACTGGTTGAGGACATTATCCTCAGTTATGTCATACCTGGACTGCGGTTTGAACCCTCTTATCTACTGCACCCATCAGAACTTCCGGGAGGCGGGCCTGGGACTGTTGTGGACTAAAGTAAAACCAGTGTCAGAGCCTGTGCTCACTGCCATCACGAAGCATCAACTGTAAATGTGTGGAGGTCCATGTGTAAGATTAAACAAGTAAACCCAGCAATATACTGGTTGTTTCTATATAAATGCCCAGCAAGTGTACTTGTTGTACACTGCTGCAAAGAAATACAGAGAGAAAATGAGAAATAGGCTTATTTCCATTACCGGTTTTGAAGTGAGTTAACGAGGCGACATCGTGCTGTCAGGAGATGGCGCTACAGGCTCTGTTATACATTATTGTAATAAGCAGAGGATAAACGGCCAGAAAGAAAACCAGTTGTTTGCCAAAAACCTTAAAGAGGAAGAAGAAACAAATACAATTGTCTATTTGTGTGAGAGAAATGGAAAGAGGTCTTCAGAAATCAATCAGGTGAATGATTCTCTTCTGTTTGCCTGACAGCAAGTTTAATCCTGTTTGGATGTGAAGACAATGAAAGATGTGAACACAGTTGATCAGTTGTGTGAGTTAAATGTTCACTATGCGTAGTCAAAAAAATGAATTATCCTCATGAATTCTCTTTTGAAAAACTCAAAACCGCCTTAAATTAGAGATGGACGAATATCTGCCAGGACGATTACTGGTGCCAATATTTGGCATTTTGACTAATATCGGCATTGGCCTTCTTTTCAGTCCAACAGCCGATAGGTCAAGAGATCAATTTAAAACTGGGTTATTTGGGCTCTGATGCCGCTGCCTCTATCTCCAGCATTGTCCCATCCACAGCACCATCTGATTGGTTACCGCAGAGCCACGGCCAGGTAGCAGCCAATCAGCAGTGAAAGCTGAGCACACACACACAGAGAAGAGAAAGTTCTGCCGAGTGGAGAAGCTCCAGAGCAGTGCTGCCAAATCAGTGACTTTCTGGCTAAATCTTGAAACTTTCCAAATCCTCTTGGTGACTTTTTTTGTGAAAAGCAACAAGTGACCAATCTAGCGACTCTTTGGAGTGTTTTGGAGACTCTGTGGTGAAAACAGGTATCGTTGAGCCGTTCCTGTCCTCAGCGAGCAGCGGTGCTGCCGTGAGCTCCTCCTGCCCCAAAGCGCTCACAGGCGGTCAGCAGTCTGGTCAGCAGTCCAGCTGCAGGACAACCACACGGCATTTTTGCTTTGCTGCAGGTGGATGATTTAAGATCAGCTTTTCATTTCATAAATCCAAAGAGGACTCAAATAGACATTGATTATTTTATTTGAAAGTAACCTTCAACCCAGCGTCTGTTTTTTTCAGAGTTCAAAATGTTTTTGTTGGAGAAATAAATGTTGTTTCCTCTGCAGCAGTTCATTGGTTTCATAAATACAACACTGTAGTTTTCATACATACCATAAAGGTATAAACGATGTATTCAGCGTTATCTTCATGTTAGTTGTCAGATGGGTTTTGTGGCTCCTGCCGTTTTCTGTTCAGTGGGAAACGGTCCAGATGGATCTTTGAGTGTTAAAGATTGACCACCCCTGACCTACACTGTCCATAGGTGTGAATGTGAGTGTGCTTGGTTGTCTGTCTCTAAGTGTAGCCCTGTGATAGACTGGTTACCTGTCCAGCTGAACCTGCCTTCACCCTGAGTCAGCTGGGATAGACTCCAGCCCCCTATGACCCTAGTGAGGATTAAGGTGTAGAGATGATGGATGGTGTTTATGTTCTTGTTATCTTTTACTATGAGTGTAAACATGTCCAGTAAGAACAAAGTGTTGCTTCATACTGTGCATTCAACCAGTAGTGTCAGGAATAACTAGGCAGGTTGACTCAAATGCCGATTAACACTCAGGAGGCGTGGAGTTAGGAAAAATTAGGTTGATTGCAGAAAACTGAGCAGTGATGAGGTAGAAAAAAGGAGGGGGTTTTACCAGTTGTGAGTTGATGGTCCAGGTAGTCGCAGTGAAGCACGGAGGGAGGCACAGGGGAAACACAGATGGGAAACACTCTGAAGTAAACACTCTGAAGGAAACGGCTTGAAGTGACCATGTAGAAAGACACTCAGGTCCCAGACTGAATGGTGACAAGTCCTTTTGTACACTGAGCAATGAACTTAATGGATAGCAGGTGTGTAGCTCACACACCTGCAGGGAATCAGTCACAGTGGAGAGTTCCTCCAGCACCCCCTCTGGTGGACGCCTGGAGGAGAACATAAACACAGAGGCCAAAAACCACCATTCCCTGGCATTTGAGTCCCTGGCAAGTAGAACATGTGGGAAGAAAAAACACAGCCCTGCTTTGTAGCATCATTCATTGATCATCTACTCATAATATATAGTACACATTTAGTATGATTACTCATGTAATTAATTGAAATTTATATTAGAATTATATTTTATAATTTTTAAGAAAATGTATTTGTGCCACACTTTTAAAAACAAGTTTACAGATGTCTTTACAGGTACAAATAAAAAACATCAAATGCAATTAAGAGATAAAAACAAACAAGAGCATTTATATAGCACTGGAATAGAATATATGTTTAATTAGAAAAAATACATTCAATATTGGGCTGCAGGGTGGCGCAGTTGGTAGCACTGTTGCCTCGCAGCAAGAAGGTTGCCGGTTTGCGTCCTGGTGGGGGCACCGGAATCTTTGAGTGAAATCAGTGAAAAACCAAAGTGAGGTTGCAAGCGGCATGGGAGCAATGGATAGCAGACGGCAAACACACCTTTACTAAGACAGGGAGGCAGCGCTGGGCGAGTTACACCACCATATGTGAATGTATTGTGGATGCCTCGGCTAAGGTATCTGCTTTTAACTGTTGTCTGAGCTTTTGCGAAAGCCGGCATCATTGCTGAACAACCACCTGACAACGAGACTGACTCCGACAATGATGAGAGGGAACCTGGCATGTTTGATGGCAAAATTGCCCAGCTGTTCAATTCAGACACAGAAGATGAGGACTTTGGGGGATTTGTGGCAGAAGAATGATAAAAAAAAATAATAATGTGAGTGTGTTGTTAAATAGTAGAATAAAGTTCAATCAAATTTACTGTTTTGCTTCCGTTACCTTTTTTTTGTAGACGGTATGTTTTAACATGCGCCTTATAATTCGGTGCGCCTTATGTATGGGTTAATTACAGAAATAGACCTTGTAATTAAAACTGCGCCTTATAATCCGGTGCGCCTTATGGTGCAGAAAATACGGTACAAATGAACTGTCATCTGGTGATTTTTGGTTTATTTTTTAAAATGTTGCCACTAAAAAAGGCCGTCACTTCTCACAACACCTTTATGACTAATGCTGTGTCTAGGACCCCCCCCCCCCAACATATTTTTGACTCCAAATGCATGACAAATGTCCCTCTTTTTATGTTTAAAAATAAAATCTTTAAAAATCAAAAAACAATACCTGTCACCTAAACCAAATGGCCTGGGGTCCAAAAGACCCCAAAAGTCCTGAAAAGAGTGAAGAAGAAGCCATGTGAGGGTCAGACCAGTGAACCAGACAGGTTCAAGAGGACAGTTCTGAGGACAGGCATCCAAAGCAGGACCAGTCCAGCAGCTGTAGTCCATCATCAGCACCAGGTGAGATGCAGAGCAGGACAGACAGACATTCCTCAGAGCAAATGAAGAACAACATTGTTAATGTAAAGAGGAGAGCATTGTGTTTATGTGTGTATTCACATGTATGTATCATTGTAGTGTACCTTGAGCCATCAGGCTGTTATTAACATGAGTCTTCACTGTGAATCAGTCTGAGTGTCATGAGTTGCTGTTAAAAAAAGCAATTATTGTACATTCCATATTGTACAAGTATGTTCTGAACAGAAACCTTTTCCAGATGACGTTTATTTTGTTAGATCCATTTAATCAGGGTAGGTCTAACACTTCTCGGGAAATTGCTACATGTAGGAATAACGCAGTAATCGGGTGCCCTCCAAAATATGGCATCGGCCCCCTATTGGCCCCCCCTAAAAATTAAACCTAGAAACGCCACTGGACCCACATTACATAAATCAACTTTGTCCTGTATTGTTAAACGTTAGAATAACAAATTTAATCAAACGACTGTAATGTGGGGTGAAGCTGACAACTTTTCGTCCAACCCTCCTCCCTTATCTGGGCTTGGGAGTCGGGACGGGAGGCGGTCAGGGCAGCACCCGCTGCTCGCTGAGGACAGCAACGGGACAACGATACGTGCTTTTCCGTCAGTCTCCAAAACACCACAAATGTCTCAACAACACCAAAAAAAGTGGCTAGATTTGTCGTTTTGGGGGGGAAAAAGTCGCCAAGAGGATTTTGAAAGTCGCCAGATTTAGCCAGAAAGTCGCCAAGTTGACATCACTGTTCCCTCGCTGTTCAACCATAAAGCAACATGTCAGAATCACTTCTACCTGGCAACAGAGCACCTCGGTTTTTGTATTGGTGGAATTAGAGACCGCGCAGCGGCAGTACCCAGGCCGCGCCGTCGACAGCGGGGGCGTCGGGTTCCGGTGTTGTTGAAGTGTTTGGTACGTGGGGAATGTTCCGCAAAGCAGGAAGACACAAACAGTGTTTGGTTTCGGTTTGGATCGCGGGGAGCTGTCGTTGTACCTCTCTTTCTGACAAGTGTTTAACTTCTAGTGAGCAGACGGTCTGAAGCTGAAGTCATGGGAACGCTCGTGTGGTTGGTCGTCGGTGCGCTTTGTCTCGCCGGTGTGTCGGTAGCCAAAGACTGTGAGTAACGTCGGCCTGCCGTCCGCGTTCATGTTTCCGTGTTTGTCTAAACCTAACCCTAGTACATACTAACCCTGGTATATACTAACCCTAATATATACTAACCCGAACCAGGCCGTCAGGTGTTAGGTAGGAGAAGATAGAAGAGTTTAAACTGATCGTCCAACGGGCTCCAGAAAGATTTTATAAAACCTCTTTATCTTTTTTTTTTTTTTTTTTTCAAGTTGTCTCAAGTTAAATCTGAATGATTAAATCATTTGCATACTTTGAGTTTCTTTTTGTTTTTTGGATAACACAACATTTAAAAGGGATTTGAAAAGTACACACATTTCTGACTTTATGGCTATTTGGACCTAATTCCTGATTCAGGAAATACAGTCCTGTTATGTAAAGATCAGATTTGATAGAACTTTATTGATCCCTGTGGTACCTCAGGGAAACTGTTGTTCTAGAAACAGCACAACAGAGACAGCAGCACACATCAGTGAAGAAAAAAAACAGTAAACAAGGAAACAAACTGTTAGATAGGACAGCAGCACGGTGGAATAGTAGTAATGTAAATAATAATAATAATAATATGGGATATAATGTGATAACAATCAGTGTAGTTATAGGTAAATATAGTTGAATATATAAAATATAAAAGTGTAACAAGTATATATTAATATATATATTAAAGAACATAAAAAAATATCTATGTGTATATTTATATTACACAAGACCACAGTGACAGTAGAGAGCAGCAGCACGGTGCAATATTAGTAATAACAATAATAACAACTTACTGTACAATTGTATAATGTTTGTAACAGAAAGAAAGTAATAATAATAATAATGATAATATAGAAATCCTTGCACTGATGTGACTGAAGTATCTGAACATAATAAATCGTGTTTTCATGTAGAGGCTGACTGTTGAATTACATAAATAATCAGATCAGTTCTTTACTTGAGTATTATTGAATGGCGACTTGTGTAGAACTTGACAACAAGTCTGTTAATGATCCATTAATGTGAGTCAGGTGTGTCGCAGTACGGAGACGTCTAAAACCTGCAGGACAGTAGCTCACGAGGACCGGAGCTGGAGATCCCTGTTCTAGAGGGTCCAAAGTGACATTACCACTACACAGAGGAACTGCTGCTTTGAATTTGTCCACTAGGGGTCTCACACAACATTGTCATGCAGGAAAACTGTGAAACTGTCTGGAGCTGGGCGGCTGTCTGTAAAAATTCTCAGTCCTCCAGGTCATGGTTATTCTGGTAGAATAATCGTCGCAGCTGGACTGAGTTGCTTGAAGACGTTCCGCCTCTCATCCAAGAGGCTTCATCAGGTCTGACTGACAAGTTGGGAGTTCCAGATACTGATATCATTAAGGAGCCATTAACACCTGAGTTTTGGTATTTCCATAAAGGGAAGTTAAAGTTATGTCGATACTGAAAGAGATGGACCTGAGCTTCCGACAGGTATAGTTAGGATGTCAAGTCAGGTCTTGTGAGGACCAGTCCAGTTTTATCTGGACCGGAAAGTATGTGATGTGTAACATAACTACACCAACGTGTCTCATACATCTGGTTGACGATGTCTGTGTTGTAGTTTAAGAGTAAAAAATGAATGAAACCTGTATTTTCTGTGCATATTTAAACATTTCTTTTCTTCCATCAGCTCCACCCAAGGTCCAGGTATACACTCGTGCACCGGGAGACTTCGGGAAACCCAACACCTTCATCTGTCATGTGAGTGGTTTCCACCCGCCAGAAATCTCCATTGAGCTTCTCAGAAACGGAGTGAAGATAGCCAAGACGAATCAGACCGACCTGGCCTTCGATGAGCACTGGCACTACCACCTGACCAAGCATGCAGCTTTCACTCCCTACAAAGGAGAGGAGTTCGCCTGTAGGGTGACCCACATGGGGACGACTAAGATGTTCATCTGGGGTATGTGTTCATGTCTCTCTGTCTGCTTTCCTATGATTTATTGAGCAGCACTGAGTATGGTTTTGGTAAATAAGGTTAAAATGCAAAGAAATAAGATATTACAGTACCTCTCCAAGCTATGAGGAGTAGAAGCCCCTTAGAGCAGCTCTCCACCTTTGTCTTAGATTTTTGTCTCAATTACACTTTTGTGAATCTATACGGTTGTACAGTTTCTTTTTTTGTTGTTGGTATAGACTTCTGCTACAGACTTGAACCCCCAAGTTTCCAATCAGCAGCACAAGGACTTCACCACTGAGTCATGACTCCTCTTTCCACCTTTATCTTCTATCGTTTCCTGTTAAGAAAGTGAAATAAATCTGAAACAAAGCATTTTAAAATTATGGAATGACCATGACAGTAAACAGACCACCAACCCGAGAGAACAAGCTCAAGAAGACGAGTGAGTTCTAAATAAAAACGAATGAAGTCATACATTATCCAATCAAATATGAAAACATAACACACATTCATATTCTGTTTTAATGTTTAGCTTGCTATATCTACACTAATAACTAAGCATGCAGAACATACATAAAGTAGTAGTAGTTTTTCATCATGCCATTTATTTCAGATCTGCAATTTTGAACAAGTAGATCAGATAATTTCTGATGATGGGTGAAGTATGAAAATAAAAGTAAGCTGTCATGGAAAGTCCCAGCTTTAACATTAACAAAGAAAAAATGATAATGAAGGCAGTCAGTAAATGATATTTTTTGAACCATATATAGTCACAACCGTACAAAGCCAAATGTATAGAATACTTAATGAAAAAAACTATTCTATAGTGGTATACAAATACACAAACAACGTTTACACCAAATCAGACGTAGGTGAGGAAAAGGCCCCTGAGATGAAACAACCCATATCAGTTTTTTTTTTTAATTATTATTTTTTTTTTTTTTTCTGGGATAAAAAGAAAAATAATGAGAACAGACAAATTAGAAAGTGGGCATCAAGTGGGCAGCACTTAAGTGACCACGGTTTATAACGTATGCAGTCAGAAGGCCGATAAAACCTCTACCTCTATAGACAGTGCTGTGAAAATCAATCAATCAATCAGAACTTTATTGTCATTGCATATGTCACAGAGCAACGAAATTTACTTTACAGTTACATCCCGTCCAAGAAACATAAAAAGACATTGACCAATAAAAGGGTGAGACAGGAGGGAGAACTGTCGGGTCAGCCAACATGAGCAGCGCCCCTTATCATTAGATAGGAAAAGGAAAACAAGAGGGAAGACAAGGGGAAAAAAGGCAATTTCCAAACTAGGCTCCTCCAAGGGGGCACAGCGTTTCCCTCCTACAGATACCTTCTATTTATTCACATTTGTCATCAAACTAATTTTTATGTCGGACAAAGATAACAAAGACTTTTTTTTTTTTTTTTCCCCTCGTTCTGGAATGCGCCGCTAGGTGGCAGCAACTTGTAACAGCTTCATTTATTTGTCTTAATATTTGTACTTTTATTTGCCTTTTCTTTTATGGATTCATTTTTGATTAACATTGCTTTGTATTGCCACATTATTTTCTTTCTTCTTTTTTTTTTAATTTGCTCCTCTTTTTATTTCCACTTTTATTGATTTTTTTTTGTAATTTGCCACTCTCACTACTCCATACATTGCACATTTACAGCATCAATGGTCCAGATGTGAGCTAGAAATAACATGTTTTTATTGTTTTCCTACAGATCCAGATATGTAGCTTCTGCAATATGTCTTCCCCAGGTATGTACTGTATTCATGTAAAATGGTATTTAGGATTTCAGTATATTACATCTGTAGGGTTTTAGTGTGGAAAATAAGATGTACTTATTTCCACACCAAAGCAAATGATTGTGTGAATTAAAATTATTAATACCAACCCTTCAATTATTCGTCCACCGATATAATTTCAGAGTCAGCACAACAATTCTAATAAATTGTTTACTCTTGGTGATCAGTCAAGAGTGTTTTATAAAGTTAAGGGAATTAACTTAGAGCTTAGGTAACTAAAGATCAGATACGTAAAGTGACTGGATGTAAGCCATAGAAAACACAGGAAACAACTGTGTACGCACAAAACATTTATTACTAACTAAACAAACAAACAAATAACAACAACAAACATAGAATGTAAAATACAAACAATGATGAAAATGCTGGTTGAGAATATGAGTGTGAAAACCTAATGTGGAACAGAGTGATGGCTTGGAGACTTAAAAATCTTTTCACCCGAAGCAGCAGATAATCTGTTAAATTTGGAATATTGGTTGAGAGGCCAATTGTAATTATGAAACACCCGTTTAGAGATGAAAGCTCAATACTTGCCGCGTCCTTGGATTGGGATGCGAGTGCAGCAACGTCTGATGCCTGATGGAGAGACGAGGCCTTCGGCTTCAGAGTGGGAAGAGAGAACATGGAAGACCAAGTGAGCAGCTCTACTGCAGTTAGAAGAAGCTGCCAGAGAATGCCAGAGAATGCCACTGCTTTTCGGGTGAAGAGGCTTTTTAATAGTAAAACTACTGACCAATCACAGCGAGCTCCGCTCCCCAGAGGGAGCTCCACTTGTTCCTTCATGAATTTAGTTGTTAAGTTTCTTTGTTGCATGCCACAGGAAATGAGGGGTCAGCAGAGCAATACGTTAAGCCCAGGTCACTTCATTGCGCCTGGCCATCTGTTAAGGTCCATGTGGTTGAATGTTTTTCTTTGTCTTCCCCCAAAAGCTTCTTTGTGTTAGATCCTTTGAGGCTCTGGTAGGTGTGATAAGGGAATTCCTAATGGAGCTCTGCTTCCTCTGGCTTCGACTCCTCCGAGTCTGCAGAGTTGATTTACATGGCCCTGTGACTTGCAGGATAGTTCTGTCTTTTTTTTATGGCATGTGACTTGGGTGCTGGAAAGTTCACATGAAGTTTTTTCTTTGAATCCTTTTGGGCATCTGTGTCTGTCCATATCCCACACATCCATGTGTTTGTGTCTGAGTGACCACACACTGTTTATACTCTTTATGTATTACCCACAGGTGTCCTCAGTGGGATGGAGAAGACCAGAATGAGTCTTAATCATCTGCAATGTTGGGTTTCACTGCAAAAGCTTCAACCATATTGAAAAGAAAGGACTGTACTTTGATCAGCTGTGTCTTATGTATGAGAACATCCACATCACAGTAAAGCTTCATAAAGTGTTTGTGGGGATTTTGTTCTAGTTATGTGACAGAACGACTGTAGCCACGAGCACTTGCTTATTCTGCTTCCAAAGTAGTGGATGCAAGATTGTGTGATTTATTAAATGTATTGTATACATTATGGTTGAGAAATAAATTTGTAATCAAATGTAACGCTGTGTTTGTCTGCTGTCATAACCCTCTGTTCAGTTCACTGAGTTCTAGATCATTAAAACAACACGTGTGCAGTAGCTGCACTTCAGACTTTAAACGATAGCTTTATGATTTAATGACATGGTGCAGCTGTCTGTGTGAGCAGCCACTCCTGCTTTTAAACTGATAATTCTTTCCGGATTGAGAGGGGCAGTGTGCAATTTATGCAGGTTGCATGGTAGCAGTCATTGTGATGTTATGTAGGCGAGCTACGAGCTTCTCTGTCCAGCAGACAATCGAGCTGCTCACACAAATGTGCAGAGGGTAACACCCAGAGAATCCAGAGACTCTTTGTTACAGCTGTAAATCTGGTCGGAGACTATTTGAGAAGCTTAAAGCGCTCACCCTGATAGAACATCTGCATCTTGGATGTTTCCTTCAAAATGACCACTCCTGGACTTCTCCTACCTCCACCAGAACCCCTGGAAAAGAGGAGATTATGACCGCCTGACCTTAAAAGTACTATAAAGTGCAGACCATTTATTTTTTTTTATGTCCCTAGAACACCCAGAATTTTCTATACCACAGTTAACTCAACAGTTTAAATCTGAACATTAAAGACATTCAGCGTCACCAGAGTGATGATATATATATAT